AGAGCAGAGCAGAGCAGAGCAGAGCAGATGGGAGGTGAACGGAGACGGAAAAGGAGAGGTAAAGACCAGGGATATTTTCTTGGTTCTCAATCGCTCGTGTTGACTCAACTCAGCAAAGGCTTGTGCGAAGAATTGAGGGAGAGGCTGCGAAAATTATCAGAGGGGAAGAAGAATGGGGGGAGAAGGGTAGGAAGGAGGGAAAGCAGGAGCAGGAGCAGGAGCAGGAGCAGGAGCAGGAGCAGGAGCAGGAGCAGGAGCAGGAGCAGGAGCAGGAGGGGGAAGAGCAGGAGGAGGAGGAGGAGCAAGAGCAGGAGCAGGAGCAAGATCAAGAAAGCAGGAGGGAGAAGGTTTTTATGTCGCACATCAAAAAGTTCCCAGCATCGACCTGGTATTGTGTGATCAGAATCATATCACAATGATTTGTCTTGTTACCAAAGAAGTTGGAGAAACTATCACTCTGTGCTGAGATTTGCACCTTGGGCAAAGTCACGAGATTAGCACTTGTATGATCAGATGCATTTATCATCAGATGTAATGTGATCTATTCATAATTGGACACATGTATCAACACTGGCGTACATGATAACAAGCATACATCATATGATGCATGTTCCATCAGAACAAACTTCCTCTAACTGCTGCTGACCTGCTCTCGAAGTTTTTGCTCCTCCTCAAAGGCGGCTTTGGGAATCCAACATTTTGAAATGAGTTCACAGGCTGATCGCAAAGTTAGCATGTCGTTAAGAGTTGTCATATTGTAATCTACTCACTGATCACTTCTGACAAGTGCAACATCTTTCCAGATGGACTGCATACGAACAAGTGAGCACAGAAGAACAATGCAATATGAAGACTTCATCTACCTTCTTTCGTCATCTGCGTTCTTCTTGGCTGCAAACATGTGCAACATGCTCTGTTGAGAACAATCAGCTACGTTTCTCATCTTCTGTTTGGCTACCGCGTGGAGATTCTTCATGTCTTCAATGCTCAACCTGTTCTCTGTTGATTTTGCAGCCTGCACTTTGGTCTTCTTGTCTTTGACCTTGCCCTGAACAATGATTGTGATGACATCAGAACACAATTGAGTGCTTGTCTTACCTTCTTGTCAGATTTCTTTTCAGATTTCTTGTCTGATGTGAAGAACTTTTTGACGTCTTCTTCAAGGTATCCTTTCATGCAAGAGTCAGACAACAATCGAAAAAGGATTCGAACAATTGAAAGAGATTGAAAAACAACTGTTGTTACCGATGATCATGGTTTGACAACCATGCTCTACAGTGTTGACGCTCTGTTATGTTTCGTCAGTTCTGAATGTGTATATCTTTCAGTTCTTCTTGCAGTTCTCACCTTCTTCAGCTCTTTTCTCCAGCATCTCCATCTCCATCTTCATCTTCAACCTCATCATCCAACCAGTGGATCCTTTCTATCGCAGCCTTCTGCTGGGCTACAAACAATTCGTCGACACGTTCCTTTGCCATGGTTATGATCTCGTTCAGAGGTCGATTTCCCTTCTCGTGCTGCTTCGCAATCTTTGTAGATGTAAATCTCACATCCTGATTGCCGTGATGTTCCTACCTGATCGAGAAGTTTCACTGACGCTTGTCGGAGCCTGTCAAGATTGTCAAGGACACACTGAAAAGAAGAAAGAAATTGAATTGAAGTGAGAATGATAACGATGATGATGATGATGATGATGATGATGATGATGATGATGATGATGATGACAAGATCGATGATGAGAGTGATGCTGGAGACGATGAGGAGTAGGAGTAGGAGCAGAAGGAAGAGGATTAGGTTGGGGAATAGGTGCATGAAAATAAAACACGACGATGATTGTAATGTCAATCATTTTCAAATTCATCAACTCACCTTTCTATGTATGCGGCGATTGTTTCATCTCGTCTCTGCAAAAACTTGTTACGCGCAGAAGCAGAAATGAAATTTGCAATGACAACTTGAAGTATTGTCGGAATCGTCGTTGTTGGTTGACTTGTAGTTTGAACATGTAGTAATGTGTCAAGTAGCTGCAAGCACCACAAAAATCATTCGAGAGAAAAGGAAGACGATCAGAAAACTTGAAAAAGTTGTAAATGAAACTCGAACATGCAGAAACTTTGCAATGACAATCGGCGAGCAACATAATGAATACAACAAACCATATCACGACAGCAGCAATACAATGGATAACACTTACCATCTGTCTTCTTTCCTCCTCTTCATACTTTACGATTGCGATTTTCTCTTCCATGTCTGAATTTGCCTCAACTTGCACTCTCTGCCAAATCTCATCAACCCGAGAAATAATGTCCTAATTGTTTGTAACAGTTGTGTTCTTACCTGTTTCATGTAGTTTCTCTGCATCTCTTCTGAGTTTGCTGACATCTAAACCAGATTGTCATATCGTCACACATGCTAACAAAGATTGACATGTTGTTGTTCACCTTCTTTCTAGCATTCTCTCTGTTCTTTTCATTTTCAAGTTTCCGTTCTGCCGCATGCGCTCGTCTAGAAGACACCTGTGATCAGCAACATGCTGCTTCTCCTCCATCTGCCCATTCCTCCATCATCATCATCATCATCATCATCATCATCATCACCATCACCATCATCATCATCACCATCATCATCATCATCATCATCATCATCATCACAATTATTCGCATCATCATCATCATCATCATCATCATCATCATCATCATCATCATCATCATAAATATATCATCATCATCATCATCATCATCATCATCATGTATCAATTTGTTTGTTCAGGTCTTCTCCCATAACAAACATCCCATGGAAACAAATCTATATCCTCACCTTGTCACCTCCTGCAGCAACCTCGACATGTTCTCTTCGCGCACATTTGCCTTCTCATACATATCACAACTTGGCGCATGAGACGAGATCAGCTCGCCTTTGCCAGAGCATCTTGCAAAGATGTAATCTGCAAACAAATGTCGATCAGTGATAATTCATCTTCATCTCATTTCTGCACCTCTTCTCGCTGACTTTGCACTTTTTTCCTGTCCTCTTTTGTTCAACATGTCAAGATTTGCGATGTTGTTGTCAATATCAATTCACCTCTCGACGAATCTGCTTCTTTTTTAGCTCGTTGACCTGCAGTGAAGAAAATGAACAAAACTATGTCATGTCATGTCATGTCATGTCATGTCATGTCATGTCATGTCATGTCATCTCATCTCATGTCATAACAAGGTCGAAGCTGAGTACAAACAAACCTGAGCAGCAAGTTGTTCGATCCTCATAATCCTTACAATCTCTCTGGCCTGATGGTAAACATGAATTGACAGTCTTGACATGTCAAAAGTTTCACCTTTGCATTGCGAATAGATCGATCTCTTTCCTTCTCCGCCTGCTCAACCTGACGCTCGCACCTGGAAACCTTGAGAAGGCAGTAGGAAGAGAGGAGAGGAGAGGAGAGGAGAGGAGAGGAGAGGGAGGAGGAGGGAGGAGGAGGAGGAGGAGGAGGGAGGAGGAGGAGGAGGAGGAGAGGAGAGGAGAGGAGAGGAGAGGAGAGGAGGGGAGAGGGGAGGGGAGGAGGGAGGAGGAGGAGGAGGAGAAAGGAACGAGAGGAAAGAGACGAGGGGAGGAGGAAGGGTGTGCAGGATGCACTTACCAGCTCCATCAGCTCATGCTCAAGGACAAGTTTCTGCAAGGAGTCAGATAGGCAAGAGGAAGCCCGAGGAGGAGGAGAAGGAAGAAGTGGTGGTGGGGTTTGAGGAGGAGCAGGAGGCTTTACTTCTTCTTGTTCCTTCAGTCGCCTCCTCTGCTGCTCGATCTCCGCTGCCGTCTGCTCCCTCGCGTCAAGTAGCTCCCAGCCTTCACTGTCCTCACCTTCTTCTGCTGCAGGTATCTCTCCTCCTCCTCCCGCACCTGCCCCTCATTCTCACCACTAGCCTCCACAACCTCTGCCACCTGCTCAAAGAGCGACGCGAGATGTCCGACCGATGCCTTGGGGAAGTTGGCGAGCAGTGGGTAGGCGCCTCCACCTCCCCTCTTCTCGAGGAACACTCTCTCCTTCTCTGCTCGCTCCTCCTCCTCCTCTCCCACGCTCGACTGCATCTGAAAGCTCGTTATCCTCGCCTGCGTCTGCCTGCCTGCCTGCACCTGTCGGAGCATGCGAGCGAATCGAAGGTCTCCCGCGATCGAGCAAGCAGAAACAACGACCGCCTGCTCCTCCCCGTCAGCTCCTCCGACCTTCATCACAACTCTGCCTCGCCCCCCCCCCCCCT